GGAGTCTCTTGTTCTCTTCTTTGGAAAGAGACAGCTCCTCCTCGAGCATTTGGACTTTACTCATGTTTCCTAGATCACCTTTTCCTGCAGACTCCGTTAAACACACCGTTTCTCTCTCAATCAAACTCTCAATCTGACTAGTGTTGCTAACGTGTTTCCAGCTAGCATGCTAAGCTAGCTCCTATAGTCCGAGGTAAACGCTCCAGAAAAAAAGAGCACAGAGTCCATTCGGAGGTTTATCCAGACACACAGATGATGGATCAGTAGTGCTGGAGCTCACACACACTTTCTCAGGAACACAGAGAGAGAGAACCGTAGCGACGAGACGCCACGTGGATCCAGGTTCTTCTTCTTCTTCTTCTCTCGGTTTTTGGCGGATTGCAAACAACTTTAAGGTGCATACCGCCACCTACTGTACAAGAGTGTGTATCACCATATCATCCTATCACCATATGTGGAATTATACCACTGTATTTACGTTGTTTAAAATTATTCCAATCAATCCTGTTTCACTCAAATGCTTAAGAATGGCCTTCCTGGTAGCTCTTACCCCCTCACCTTCTGTTCTCAGTGTCCCCATCAGGCTCCACTCCCTTCCTGGTAGCTCTTACCCCCTCACCTTCTGTCCCCAGTGTCCCCATCAGGCTCCACTCCCTTCCTGCCTCTCTGACCCTGTCTCTTAGTTGTTCCCTCTCTGTTTTCTACATGTTGCAGTGTAATACGATGTGTTCCACATTTTCTTTTACTCCACACCCCCTGCATTCTTCAACTTCGCTTTTTTCCTTTAAAAACATTGTTCCGTTTAATCCTGTATGATCCAGTCAGAGTCTAGTGATGGTGATCTCCTCCCGTCTGTTCCTTTCTGCATAGATCTTTATTATTTAGTGGGAATGCTGATTCAGCATTCCCACTGTATGTTATGCTACGGACAAAATTCTTATTATTCCATCCAGTTATTTTGTCCGTCTTCTCCTCCCACATTCAACATCGCAGAAACTCTGTTCAAACATCAAAACGTTCAGCTCGGTCGGGAATCGATGGCTATTACTTTTATCATTCATAACTTTCATAATTCCAGAGATACATCCCATAATTCATCACATTTTTTACATTTGAACTTTAACATTGCGCAGCTCGTTAAGGCAGGGTGCGTGATGTCACAGCTGGAGGGTAGGAAATCTTGAAATTTGCCTTCATATTTTTTTTTAAAACTGCCATAATTCCCAAACCCTACATTCCTGAGACATAATTTTTCATTAGAAACGTAGGAAAACATCTCGTAGCTTGAAAAATGACAAATAATTAAACAAAATGCCTCTTGAGGCAAAATTCACATGTGTGCTAAGAGTCCAGCCATGAAGACATCTACGAGACAGTTTTGAGATTTCTTCAATTGCTGTTGCCATGGCAACACAATGCTCGCCATGAAACACGGTTTTCTCATAACTTCAGTGAAAATGCTTCAAACGGCCCAAAACTTCACAGGTTTGGTAACGATGCAGCCATCAACGCATCTAAGCGTATTATGGGGTGTCATCAAATGCCATTGCCATGGCGACAGATCATTCACCATCAAGTTAGTTCAAAAGTTTGCAGTTTAAATATTCTGCTGCTTTTCCAAGCCTTTTTACTTTCTTTTCTTCACTCATCACACATTCAAGCCCCCAGTGTTCATGTATCATTTCAATCTAAATTCTTCACTTTCTTCTTACACATTACATTTCAGCATAGCAGTTTAGCGTCAGCTTTTCAGCATAAAGCATTCCCACTAGCAATTTCTTCAGGAATTGCGCTCCTCCCCGACCCATTTCACCATGACGGCTTTCCTGGCCAGCATTTAGACTGAACAACATCCTCATGATGTTTTAGAGCAGTGGTAATTTATTTCATTCTTCCCTTGAAAAAATAACAAAAATCAAAATACTGTTAAAGAACAGGATCGATAAGCAGTATTTCTAATTGTTTCAATTAGGCCTCATTATTTCACAGTGGCACACGATCATCTGCCAAAACAATCACTTCTGTTCATGTTCAATCCATCATAAAATATATAATGATATATATTTTTGTCTTGTTATTAGCAGAGAAAATGTAATGTTCGTACAACTATATACAATGAATTCTAACAATCTAAGTGGGAACGGGGTTAGGGGGGGCTCGAAAATATTTCCAATCACCCAAGGGGGGCCTGACTGAAAAAGGTTGGGAACCACTGTTTTAGAGGACGAGGGCAATATCCAAGCAGACACAATAGAGGTTCCACTGACACCTGTTGACCGATTGCTGTAGTGATGTTTGCACATGTTGCCCTCCAAAATACTTGAGTTTTGCTGCATTCCTTCATTGCAATGCAGCCTAGTCCCTACATGAGTCTCACATATTGGACAATTCTGTGAGGTCCCCCTCTTATACTTACTATAGATATAAGGAGAATATTATAACTCTTTGTATCTGTTCCAAATTGAAATGTTGGAAGGTAGCTTCAAGATATGAACCCAGATACCATCATGCATCACACAGTTAAGCAGAGTACACCAAGATGTTCTCAACCCTCCAAGTTGGTCTGCATTTAGATTGAACATTTCCGAGTTGAATTTGGATATAAAGTGTTTTAGTTCTTTGTGATCCAGGAAAAACCTCTTTAGTAGGTGAGAGTCTCTTGAGATTTCCAATGAATTGGATTTTTTATACACATAATGTCTGACCTGTAAATATTTTTAGAAGTCTGTATTTTGTAAATGGTAATTCAAATGTTGTAAGTCTTCCACTGTCAAATAGATCATTGTGATAATACCTGCTCTTTGCTAGGGTCTAAAATCTGGTCTTAAGCTTCTTCCATGACCACTAAGCATTAGTTATCAAAAGATTCTGCTTAGCAACGGGGGGGTAATTCGTTCATTGTCTTAGAGCAGATTGACAGGAGAAACTCCTTACATGTTTAACACTAAATCCTGTACTTTCTACTTCTTACATTTTCAAAACCAACCTGTTACTTTAGTTTGAATCTGCATTTGGTGGAGGGATCATTATTATTTCGAAACATTGAGAGCCTATCTTTTGGTGGCTATGTCCCAACATTGAGACTAATCACTCAAACATGATAAGCGCTATTATACTGTACATGTTCCCTTTTTTTAACAAAGCCTTTTGGGAAGAGGCGTTTGAGGCTCTTAGAAAAGAAATCAAACGCATCACAATTCATGCCATCTTGACTTTTGTCTTGCAGGTTTCACTTCACTATCTAAGAAGAAAACCCTTCAAATGATATATGTTTAAAAGTCATTACACACTGGACTATCTTTAATGCACTTCTCTCTAAAACCTTGGATGAAAGGACCCTACACACTTTGAGATAATCAGACATAGTTGTTGACTGCAGCGCTACGGCGTGTAGAAAATTCTTCTTTGATTCAGTTCAACTTTAGAGAGCGTCGGATAAGAGGGTCAGAAAGAGGATGAGGGCCACATGGGGACATTTTATTTTAAATTGAAATGATTTTGATCTTTTATTCAGAGGAAACTTTTCTGAATTCTGACTTTACTCTGAGATCTAGGAATATATACATGTTTTAATTGATTGTAATGCAAATCTCAGAACTCTGAAACACAGAAGAGGATTAGGACCACATGTGGATTCACTTTTTGGATCTGACCTGTTGAGATCTCCAAATCAGGTTGAATACTTAAAACGAAAGTTAGTTATAATCAAATATAATCAATTATATTCTTGTATAACCCACAATGAAAATGCTTCATATTTTATGATGTTCTAGATTTACAGTATAAACAAAAAGCAAGTGGTTTGTTAAGTTGAGTGTGTAAGGCCTGTAATGGTTTATGGGTGTCACTGATAAGAGAAGAGGCAGTTTCTTCCCTCTCCCCTCACAGCGGTACACAGGGAGGGGGGCTCCTGACTTAAGGAGAAATACATTGAGGCCCCAAAAGGGTGGTTATGTCATAGCCGAGAATAATATTTTGCAAGTCCTGCAGAGTAGGGGTCATGTCCTTTTTACACAAACATGGGAAGGTGTGTCTTATGCCAGAGCCATAGAATATGTCTGGTCATGTCCAGTTCTTTACATCAGAGGCCATGCCCAGTTTCCACAAATATGGGTATGGAGGAGGTGTCTTTGGGTTTTTCTATCCTGTTTTCGAGCATAAAGACACTGGCAGATGAGGAGGAACTTTCTTTTTGGAGAGAGGGAGACAGGGGGGGGGGGATCCCCTGGTATATTGGCTCTCGGTAACGCTCTCTCCTTCAGAGCTGGGTTTTTGCTCTCGGTAAGGTTCTCTCAAACTTGGTAACTATTGCGTAAATCTATGGGTGTGTGAATGTTAGTACCCACCATCTGTGTTTGGGAAATAGGTATGTGTTTGTGAATGAAACTCCCCGCCATCTGTGCGAAAACTAGGTTAAACTTCCCGCCATCTGTGCGAAAACTAGGTTAAACTTCCCGCCATCTGTGCGAAAACTAGGTTAAACTTCCCGCCATCTGTGCGAAAACTAGGTTAAACTTCCCGCCATCTGTGCGAAAACTAGGTTAAACTTCCCGCCATCTGTGCGAAAACTAGGTTAAACTTCCCGCCATCTGTGCGAAAACTAGGTTAAACTTCCCGCCATCTGTGCGAAAACTAGGTTAAACATCCCGCCATCTGTGCGAAAACTAGGTTAAACTTCCCGCCATCTGTGCGAAAACTAGGTTAAACTTCCCGCCATCTGTGCGAAAACTAGGTTAAACTTCCCGCCATCTGTGCGAAAACTAGGTTAAACTTCCCGCCATCTGTGCGAAAACTAGGTTAAACTTCCCGCCATCTGTGCGAAAACTAGGTTAAACTTCCCGCCATCTGTGCGAAAACTAGGTTAAACTTCCCGCCATCTGTGCGAAGACTAGGTTAAACTTCCCGCCATCTGTGCGGAAACTAGGTTAAACTTCCCGCCATCTGTGCGGAAAAAAGGTAAACTGCCCCAGCATGATTGGGAAATAGGTATGTGTTTGTGAATGTTAGTTCCCGCCATCTGTGTCGGAAAAAAGGTATGGAATTGATGTGAACTGATTTGGTGAAAGAAAGTTTGAATGTGCTTTTTATTAACAACGGTCTTTTATGAGGAAAAGCCTCTAAATTCTATCGGGAGATTTTAAATGTCACAACTGAATTGGGCAGTTGAAGTTACAATTTTGGTAATAAATGTAAAACTGTGAATTAAAGTTTCATATTAGAACATGATCACAGCATGATAGGTTTAGTATGATTATAATGTTGTAACGAGAGAAGGCAAAAACCCTGTATTAGTTTGGACCTATTTTTCTTCAAATAAACTGATCCCACCTTTTGGATTGGGACAACTTAAAAGACATCTGCGCTCTCCTCTCCTGCTTGAAAGGTAAGATTGCACCCTGCCACACTCACACTTAGGTAGGGCCACACCTCATTTACTGATATCAAAGTCCTTCGGGATTGCTTAAACAGATTTAGGGGGTTGTCTGAATTGAAACAGCAGTTAATTTAACCTGGTTCTTCGGGGAGTTAATAGAGGTGAGATCTTGCTGATCGTTGGTGGATCTGAGCCAAGCAGTAAACTTACATAGACTCAATAACTTCGGTTAGGTCAATTAGGAGGTCTGAGTAATTTAAGTTCGGAATAAATTATACCGGATGACTCCCGACTCTTACAGACCAAAACTGATTTTTTCTTTTGAGTAATAAATCAGAGTTCTTACTTAAATCTCAGATCTATGAAGAAAGTTCTGAAGGTTGTCATGAAAATAAATAAAATATATTTTAAGAAAAATCTGATTTCTGAGATTTTCTTGAAAAAAAAAATAGAAAATCTGAAAAAAAGGTTTAATTTTTTTATCAGAATTCTGACTTTCACTAGTAAAGAAAAAGTTGAGGTCCGACCAAAGTGATTTTTATCTGACTTTAAGTTTCACATGTTCCCACATGTTCCTAACCCTCTTCCATAGACGCTTCTTCCTCTCCATTCTTTGGTGTAAATAAATGCACTTGTGTTCACTTCCCCCCCGACTCTCTCAATGTTATTTGTTGTTGTGTGTGAGAGTGTGTTGGTAAAAGAAATGGCCTTGCATTGCCTCTTGTTTTATTATTTATTTTAGGCTGAAGACTTATCTGCAGAATTGGTCAAATACACTGGAAGTGAGTCAAAAGAGGAAGATGCTAAAGACGTGAAGAAGTACTATTGGCTACTGGTGAAGTGTGTGACTGTCAGGGGGCCGAAGAAGGGTCTTCTCCAGCACGTCACACTTGTGGATCTTCCTGGAAACCGGGACCGTAACAAGACCAGAGACACAATGTGGAAAAAGGTGATTTATCCACACGCAATGCTGATTATTGTGGAACACTGGCAACGTAACCGTTATTATTTTCTGTATTCCCCTCCAGGTTGTTGGAAGTTGTTCTACTGTGTGGATTGTGGCTGAGATCAATCGAGCAGCTTCTGAAAAAGAATCCTGGGAGATCCTGGAAGAATCCTGCAGCCTCATGGGAAATGGTCACGAGTGTCAGCAGATTAATTTGATCTGCACCAAGTCTGATAGTCTTGGAGGTTCAGATGATCAGTAAGTGGTTTAAGATGCAAAAGTACACAGTTAAATGTACCATCCAATTTAGACACTGATGGCCAAGAGGAGAAACCATGGAAACATTGATTACGTTTACAGGCACATTAGTATCCTGGTTTGGATGGTATTCAGGGATATAATGTTCACTTGAAACAGGATCAACCAGGGTATCCATGATCATAACAGTATCCGTGTTTCTAAAATGCCTGCATTGATTCCTCAACATCTCAGCCATTTATTTCTGTCCTAATGTTGTTGCTTCACAAACACTTAGTGATGCTGGATGAAGCTATGTGATCATTAGTCATTGAAAGCAAGATGGAGATGCGTAGTGATATCATATCCTGGAATATATATGCAGTTCATGTCATTCTTCAAATACAAATCTTTTCCTATAGGTCAGCAGCTGATGTTCGTGCTCTGATACTAAAACAAAACGAGCAAGCCAAGATAGACGTGAAGGCAGAATTCAGCAAACTAAAAGACGTTAAGGTGAGTTATATTGAATACAAAAACACAAATATTGTCCCAAACTGCAAACCTGCTTTGATATTGAAACTCTTTTCTTGTTGAAACAATTCAGTGAGGAATGTTTCAAAGTTTTCACAGTGAGCTCCAAAGAGTTGATGAAAAAGAAACGTCTGGATCCAGATGACACATGTGATTCAATTCTCCATCAGTGAGCCAGGAATGACTAAATGAAAATGCTTTGATCTCTTCTAATAAATATGTAGAGATACTAATTGAGTATAACATGTAAAGTCAAGAATGTAATTAAGTATGTTACATTTTTTACAGGAATTCCTGCAAGATCTCAACGACTGGCAGACATGGAACTATGTGTCTGGAGCTCTGGGGGTTCTCTCTCTGATTCAGGCAGCCAGCAGCAGAGAGAGAGGAACATCAAGTAACAACATATTTCACTGTCTTTCATATTGACAGAAATAATAACATTCATCGAAAAGAAGTAAGCTGCATACACTAACATGTTGTGTACAAATGGTAAAGTCAAAGAAAGACTGTTCACATGTGATGTTACCCGTGGAGCCAACAAGGTATTGGATGAGCTGAGTGTGTGTTGCTTCAGAGAGGATGCATTGCTACAGTTTACTCAAAGCTTTTGTATTTTTTGCTTGAAACAAAAAGCCCCATATTGAATGATGGTTGTATTGCTTTAACTAATGAATGTGTTGTGTATGGTTTCAGGCTGACATAAAGACGGCTGTGTCCATAGGACTTGAAGAGAAGCTGAGTCATGAACTTGATCAAGTCAGGGAACCCATGGACCCTTATGGCTTTTGAAAGATGTCTCAGTGGGGGGGTTAAAACATCAAAGAGTTCATGTGAAGAAGTCTTAAAGTCGGTCCTTTATCCTGTAAGTATTTCAGTTGGAATTCAATCAAAACGACTCATTTAGCACAAAATATGGATCTGTCTCTTCCAACATTCGGTGTTGTTTCAGACAAAGAAAGGTGGTGCACTTCACAGGTCACTGAAGTGTGGAGTTGAGAATGGTGGCATCCACAAACCAAGAGAAGGGGAATGAAGAAACATCAACATGAAGCTAACTTCATGTTTGACTGACAGCATTGAGGAGGAATTGAAGAAGACCTTCCTGTAAGAAATGACTTACGAAACACATCAAACCCTGTGTTGGATCAATTGTGTTTTACAATACATTGAAATACATTATTGAAATACAAATGTGGTAAGGCCTTCTGAATGTAAGCATTTCTTTGTGTTCATACGTTTTAGAAATGAAGGAGAAAGAGAACCATTCAACGGGGTCATCAATACATTTCCACTTGGCACAGAGGAGGAGATGAGGAAGAAGGAGTGCGGAAATGTCAAACTGCAGCTGACATTTCTCAAGAGGTCAAAGACCCTATTCATTAGTCCATGATCAAACATGTTTGTCCAGGCCAGGGAGACTGTAGTGGAAGGGTGATCAATAGAATACATATTGATCAGTCAGCATATTCATACACATTGTACTGGAATAACTCAATATGAGCTGGAGATGGCTTTGAAGAATGACCTGCAGCTGTAAAGCGGACCCTGTCCCAGTTCATGAGGAAACTCTCAAGATGACAATAGAATATTCTGATATTGGGCAAAGTGCACCCCCTGCTGGTGAACACGTGCTATCACTTTGAATCATGTACTGCTTTTCCAGGTACAATCTGGAACAAAGAATCAAGGGAAAGATGAGCATAGTCTGCAACATGTTCTTTTTCAAAGATGTTGATATTTGCTTCACATTTTCTCTCTAAGGAAGAAAAGATGAAAACAAACCTCAAGAAACTCCTCCGTGAGCGTAAGAGAAGGATCTCCAGCAGCCTGACAACAACAATGGAGGAGACCATGAAAGAATGCTCTGACAGGAAGACAGAAGATCACTACAGACATAGAAATACACCTCTACACATTTTGATGTCAACATGTTTCTGTTTGATGTAGGAGCAAAAGAAATGAAAGGAGAAGGCATGCTGAAAAACATGAGGGGAACGATTGAAATGCACGTTCATGGTTCAAAAGACGTCATGTTTGATAAGGCTGAAGACGCCATGATGAAACAGCTGAGAGACCTGATGCTTTGTCACATTTGATATTTCCTCCTGCAGTCAAATGAAACTAGGAACACTGCAACACAAACATACATGTGCACACATGTCAGTGTTCAGTGATCAATATTTCAATGTTGATTTAGTGGGAGATCCCGGAGAAAGTGGAGAGCACGATGCAGGAATCAATCCAGCTGTCACTCAAAACAATTGGTGTCTCCATCCCAGGTGAAGGAGACACAACATCACAAACAATACTGTACATTTCACTACTATCCCTCCCTTGGGCCAGAGTGAATACCACACCCTATTTGAGATCAGGCCGGGGTTCGGACTCTGTTCTTCTCACGTAAAGCACAAATCCAATCTTAAATAAGTCAATGTAAGATATGCAAATGGTACTCTTGAATCATCTGATGTTGAGAAATCATGTAGTGATTAATCTAGCATTTAACTAGATTGCCATGCCTGGTGTGTTCAGAGAACAGATATATACATGTTAAACACCACTGCCTCCAAGTGACTGAATTGAGCAATAGCATCTGTGTGAAAACATTTTTGATTGAACTGAGCAAGTGAATACATACAACCCATCTAGGCAGATAGGTCATGTTTAACAGTGTATTCATTGACGAGAGGAAAGCATAGGTTCAGGTTCAGTCAATGAACAACTTTATTTTCTTGACATTAATAAAACAGCATGGATCAGAGATCAATAAAGCTTTCTAATACTCCTCTCCTTCCTCATCCTCATCTTCCAGGCTATCAGCTCCAACCTCCTCGTAATCTTTCTCCAGAGCGGCCATGTCCTCTCTGGCCTCAGAGAACTCTCCCTCCTCCATACCCTCACCCACATACCAGTGCACAAAGGCACGCTTAGCGTACATCAGATCAAACTTGTGGTCCAGCCGAGCCCAGGCCTCTGCAATAGCAGTGGTGTTGCTCAGCATGCACACAGCCCTCTGGACCTTGGCCAGGTCTCCACCAGGAACTACAGTGGGCGGCTGGTAGTTGATGCCCACCTTGAAACCAGTGGGGCACCAGTCCACAAACTGGATGGAGCGCTTGGTTTTGATGGTGGCAATGGCAGCGTTCACGTCTTTGGGAACGACATCACCACGATACAAAAGGCAGCAGGCCATGTATTTACCGTGGCGTGGGTCGCATTTCACCAACTGATTGGCTGGCTCGAAGCAGGAATTAGTGATTTCTGCCACCGAGAGCTGCTCATGGTAAGCTTTCTCTGCAGAAATAGCAGGGGCATAGGTGGCCAGAGGGAAGTGGATACGGGGGTAGGGCACCAAGTTGGTCTGGAACTCTGTCAGATCAACATTGAGGGCACCATCAAAACGAAGGGAGGCAGTGATGGAGGACACAAGTTGACTCATCAACCTGTTCAGGTTTGTGTAAGAGGGACGCTCGATATCAAGGTTTCTACGGCAGATATCATAAATAGCCTCATTATCAACCATGAAGGCACAGTCAGAGTGCTCCAGGGTGGTGTGGGTGGTCAGGATGGCGTTGTAGGGCTCCACCACAGCGGTGGACACCTGGGGAGCTGGGTAGACGGAGAACTCCAGTTTGGACTTCTTGCCGTAGTCGACGGACAGACGCTCCATCAGCAGGGAGGTGAAACCAGAGCCGGTGCCCCCTCCGAAGCTGTGGAACACCAGGAAACCCTGAAGACCGGTGCACTGGTCGGACTGAAAGAAAAAGAGAAAATCATGAAATAATAATAATAAATGTATTTATATAATACAAAGACAGCAGTGCCAAGGGTTCACAGCTAATGATAACAAAGCGTATTAGTGCACAGCATGTAAACATATAGATTCAATGAAAACAGATCAGAGATAAGAGGGTGCCATACCATGGAGGGCTTTGAATGCGATCAGGAGGATCTTAAACTGAATTCTGCAGGGTGGAGGAAGCCGATGCAAGTGGGCCAGAATCGGGGAAATATGCTCACTTTGAAAGAGTGATACCAGATTGTTATGTCTTGTGTTTGTCTAAAACACTGTACAGCTCTACATTTTAAAACATATACTTCACATATTTATTATTAGTTATGACACTTGGCTTTTGCAATACTTATTTTTGCCATTGACCACAATATGATTGCATACTCCTTGTATGTGAAAACCTACTTAGCAATAAACTGATTCATCTCCATTTAATACTCTTCAGCAAAATTGACTTCTGTTCTAAATGTACTGACCAGCTTTCGGATTCTGTCCATCACTAGGTCGATGACCTCCTTGCCGATGGTGTAGTGTCCTCGGGCGTAGTTGTTGGCAGCATCCTCCTTGCCAGTGATCAGCTGCTCAGGGTGGAACAGCTGGCGGTAAGTCCCCGTGCGCACCTCATCTAAGGGTAATGAGCATTAGATTATTGAAGGTTTTGAATGACAGAGGGGGGAAAAGGTTTATGATACTTTTATCATTTATAATGAATGAGAATGTACCGATGACAGTGGGCTCCAGGTCAACAAACACTGCTCTGGGGACGTGCTTTCCAGCTCCAGTCTCACTGAAGAAGGTGTTGTAGGAATCGTCCACTCCTCCTGAGATGTTCTGGTCACCAGGCTTCCTGCCGTCCGGCTGGATCCCATGTTCCAGGCAGTAAAGCTCCCAGCAGGCATTGCCAATCTGCACACCAGCCTGACCAACGTGGATTGAGAGGCACTCGCGCTGTAAAAGGGAAAAAAGGTTGTTAAGAAACTATCATAAAAGGAAGCCTAGTGGCTGATTCTTGTGCAAAAACATGTGTGTAACATACATTCTAGTGGCATATCACCACATGTGGGAGGACTGCTCTATTACTATTTTAATAAGAACCAAACATCATATCATGATTTTAGTCACCTGACGCACACATTTGTCATCTGAACAGAAAGACAGTTATAATTCAAAACAAAAAGAGGCTAAATACTGTTTATACGTCAAATACCGAAAGCACAATGACGCAGTTGTTGGCAGACAGGTGGCACGATTGGACGTGAATGTGGGCCAGTGTTAAGAGAGGAGACTATGCATTTACATTTTCTGCAACTGTCTCACACGGATTGCGCCACTGCCACACCCCTTTAGGAGACTAGTGGCGTGGCAGGCCAGAACGTAAACACACATAATAATCATCTAATTCGACCTAAATAAAGTAAAAATGTGAACCATGTCTCTCATCTCTCTAATGTGAAGACATTAGAGAAAACACGTCGGTTTGCTATCCTGGCTCCAAAATGGTGGAATGAGCTCCCCATTGACATCAGGACAGCAGAAAGCTTACACATCTTCCGGCGCAGACTGAAAACTCATCTCTTTCGACTCCACTTTGAGCAATAACATTACTAACAAAGCACTTACTAACAAAGCTCCATGATCAAAACTGCCAAAAAGAATTTCATCAATGACAAAACTGAGGAAAACAAAAATAAACCCCGGGAACTTTGGAAATTACTCAATAACCAGCTTGGCTGCAGCAAAAAACTCAAAACGAGATTTGCAAACTTAAACATAAAGACAGATAACAGGCTCATCACAGACAAACTGGATGTGGCCATGTACTTGAACATTTTTTTCACAAACATAGCCACAACTCTTGTAAATAAATTACCCACCCACTCAGGGCTTTTTGGAGTAGATCACATAATGACCTACTACAAAAACCTAGGGGTACGCAAAGATGATTTCAGTCTAGCAAGGGTAACAACAGCAGAGGTACTCATTAAACTGAGCGCCCTCAAACCTAACAAGGCCACTGGCCACGACAATATCCCCTCCAAATTCCTCAGAGACACAGCAACCGCCATCTCACCAGTCATAGCTCACATAATTAACCTCTCCATAAAACAGGGAAAAGTACCCAAAGACTTCAAAATTGCAAGAGTAACCCCCCTGCACAAAAAGGGCAGCAAATTGGACCCAGGCAACTACCGCCCTGTTTCTATACTTACCTCCATCTCGAAAGTCATGGAAAAAATTGTATATGAACAGGTCGAAAAGTACCTCGCGGAAAATAAACTAATCTATG